TGAGTGTAAACAAATCGTTTTTGAGGGAAATATAACTTTAACATCATGATTCTAAAATTACAAGTTGTAATCCAATCAGAAATATTGTTTCATAGCGTCTTCATATATAGAATTTGTGAGTTGTAATCCAATCAGAAATACGCTTTCATAGCATTATGATATACAGAATTTGTGTGTTGTAATCCATCAGAAATGTTCTTTTTATAGCTGTATGTTTATCAGTATATTTTAATAAATATATGTACATAACTGTTCCAAATAGTTGCTTCTGGTTGTTCTTATATGACTTGTTTAAATCTAGCATGCATTCTTCGCCTAAACAGGCAATTTCCTTTGTTGATTTCATTTTTATATATTGTATGTCGTATTTTATAAAGTAACAGTAAATGAATTATAAGTAAAATTATAGATAACTGCATATCTAAAAAAGGTATCTATATGCTGTCCCTATTTATTTGGAACTTGCAATGGTAGAACAAAATCTTTTAAAAAGTACATGATATTTACAATAGAAATTATCGAAGTGGCGACACCGTCAACTGTAACTCTACGATATTATAAAAGTTAATTCACAACAGTATAAGTCCACTTGAATTACTAAGAGTAAATAAATCGTATGTAAATGATATTGTATATATTATATTGTGTTCCCCAATCTTTCTTACTATTGAATTTGTATGTTGTATTGTTGTTGTTATTATTATTATTTTTATTATTATTATCATTATAATATTTTTTTTCTTTTTTCTTTCCCGTTTTTTTACTTTTATGACATAAATTGTTTAGCTTCATATTATCTGTATTTTAAGGTTTTAATTATTTAAATTTTCACTGGTTTTATATTGTATATATTATATTGTGTTCCCCCAATCTATTGCATTTGTATGTTGCATTGTTATTATTATTATTATTATTATTATTATTATTATTATTATTTATTACTTCTATGACCTTTACTTTTATGACATAAATTGTTTAGCCTCATTTTGTCTGTATTTAAAGTTTTTAACTATTTAAATGTTTATTGCTTTTATATTGTGATTCCCCCCCCCCCACATCTTTTTAC